TCTGTGTGTTCTTCAGGGACCCCCAGGGATTCATGGTGCTCGAGGAGAGAAGGTGAATACTACCAGTCCCTTCCGGTTTTACGTATGAATGTTCTTGTGTTTCAAATACATGGGCCACACATGGTTATTGAACAGTGTTGCACCATGTTGTTCATGACATGACATGCAGTGGTCCCTATTCATTTACTCAGCCCTTATTGGGAAATTACCATCATATATTATGTCTCTCTTGGTCAGATCAGTTGGTACCATAGAGTATTTATGAAAAAGGTTGGTACGCACCAAACTGAACACTCCATGTACCTAAGGTAAATTTAGGAAGACTCCATTTGGAGTCAGTGCCCCAGACACATTGAATAAGCTACAGAGCACTTTAAAAATGAATAGTTTTATAAGCTAGAAACAAGATTTTAAACATTCCCATAACATAATGCAGTTGTTTTAACTGATGAGACTGTTGGTTGTGTTTTACAATATTGGGACTGATGAGACTGTTGGTTGTGTTTTACAATATTGGCATCCTATACGTTTAAAATTTTCCTTGTTTATTTTTTTATTACAATTTAGTAGTTTTATTGTTTATTTAAATTGTATTGTAAAGTAGTTTTTGACTGTCTGTTCACAAATTGTTTTTATTATGTTTTTATGTACAGTACATTCAGGTTTCTCTTGAAAATGAGATTTCTAACTCAATGGGATTCACCCGAAGGGGTTAAATAAAAAAATAAAAGATCATTTGAAGATTTGAAGATAATACCAGTGTGCAGTATGTGCAGTCAGAAACCATGCATGTGGATTTAGAGTGGCTGGACCTAACAACCTTATCCCTTTCCCAGTCCTGTCAATGACAAATATTTGTGTTTCCAGGGTGACAGAGGATCCAAGGGGGTTTGTGGAAGCACTGGACTCAAAGGAAAGAAGGTGAGATTGAGACAGAAAATTGGGATATGGTTGAAGGAAGAGGACAAGAAATAAATGAAAACATTGTATCATGACAGTTTCATACTGTGGGGTTTTTATTATTTTATAACAAACAAACAAACAAACAGAAGCAGCTAGCACACAAAATAACAATAAACTTAATAAACATAACAATAAAACGAAATAAACAAATATCTTTGTGTTCAGGGGGATGCCGGTATTCATGGACGATCAGGCCTACCAGGAAGAAAAGGTGAACAGGTATGACTCATGTTGGGCATTGGTAGGTTATCAATTATTGGCTATCAAAAATGAAGAAAATATTAAAATGATTAATATTAAGTAATAACTATTCAAAAGAATTAAAGTTCCATAGGTTATTGATGCAGTCAAAATTATACTATCAATTTGGAACTGGAGCTGGATTTTGTTGGCCTGGTGATATCTTGGGTCACATGTCACACAGTGATCAATACTATCTGGTTTTTAGGTCCCTGGGTGGGTTTCACACCCAGGGAAAAAAGTGTGAAGGGTAAAGGATTCTGGGGGATTTGAGTTTACATGACCCTCCTTTGTCTGTAGAAAAGAACATGTGGTCTCCACCATGTTGAGTGGACTGAGGCCCAACACTCATATCTGTAGAAAAACAGGCATCATGTGGTGTATTACATGTCTTTGTGCAGTTCTTAAAGATTGGTCGTCATCAGATGTGCTCTCTTTCCAGGGGGATGTTGGACATCCTGGGGCCCCTGGGAGCCTTGGAAAAGAGGGACTAGTTGGCCCCAAGGTGCGTACTGTATTATAACAAACTTTGTACAATAATGTCTCAATGCGAAATCTAACTGCTTTTCTTTGTCTGTGTAGGGTGACCGTGGTTTTAACGGGCTTACAGGACCCAAAGGAGCTCAGGGAGAGAAAGGTGAAAGGGTGAGTGTACAACTTTAACTTCTCTAGCACAGTATACATACAGGTCTAAAAGTAACTGCTTGATAATCAGGCTATGCACTGTACCTAATCTTCATATACTGCAAGTGCTGTTAGAAGCACGAGCACAGCATCACTCATCCTAATAACCACAGGAAACCTTGAGATACATAATTAACAGTCTTTGTGCTTCCTGTAGGGTCTGTCTGGTGTGCCTGGTCTTTCTGGTCCCAGAGGGGTGGATGGTGCTAAAGGCCCTGAGGGGATCCAGGGACAGAAGGTAGCAATTCATACTTTGGCTTGATGATGGATAATTCTTAACTTTGGAAATGCTTTGTCTGGTTTTGAAAAGCAATATAGAATTAAAGTTCATTATTATTATTACCATTATTATTGTTATTATGGAGGTGGAAGTCTGTTGAAGGAAATATAGGTGAGGATATAGTGACATTTCAACAATCCCTTGTTATATCAGAAAGTGGGTGCTGCATCACTTATGACCGTGTACAGATTTTATGGTGATCTAACACAGAAAGATATAGTATAATAGAAGCAAAAATAGACAAAAGTAGGAATTGTGTCATCAAGTGAGTACACAAAATAGCAGCTGTCGGGTATCTCAGAAGTATTGGCAACTTAGATAAAACTTTTGTTTTTACAGTTTTGACATACTGTAAATAAGAAGTATGATGGAGACTCAAATGGGGACAATCCAAGGGGAAAAAGGGGATTTATTAAACAACGAACAGTATAAAGTCTTAAATTTGAAATGAATCCAGGCCGGGAAACCAATGTCCAAAACAAACACGAGGGGAACTGAGGATACTAAACAGAAGTAAAGCAGAAAATCTTAACACTGAAAACACTGAAGCAAAAGACACAGGGAAAAATCCAAAATCCGAACTGAGCAAAACGGGAAGAACTGACAAAGACCGAGGGGAAGACAGAGACTTAAATACACAAGGGAGGCAAAGGTAATAGAACACAGGTGAAACACATTGGGGCGTGGCAGACAATCTACAAGGAGGGAACCAGGACAAAGACAGGAAGTAACATAACAGACAAGACACACAAGGGAAGTAATTTAAAAAAAATAAAACAGGAAATGAATCAAAAGTCCAAACATAACATATGATATAAGACTGATAGGAAAAGAGTACAGTCTTTTTGTATTTGTATTTTCACCTGACAGTTTTGTTTGATTACTGTGATTACATGATGATTGACAGTTTGATTGGCCCTGCATTTGACTGGCTTGTCTGCTTCATCATCAAGCAAATAAAGAAAGTGGGTAACAGGAGAGCAGGAACTTATTGAATGCACCTGAGGAGGAAATGCATATGATGATATAAAAGAAAATGTCAAATTTACAGCATACTCCACATACAGGCTGTGCAAATATTCCCATTACCCAGTTTACTAAGGACTATGTGTACTGGATGTGCTTTGTAGAAAAAAAAAGATATTTACACATATAACTGGTATGTTTATTACATCAGTGTCATAATGTATGTACCAGAACTGCATTACAACAGTATGAAAGAAGTATTCTCTTTAGCCTTGATGTCTGCATCATAATGAAATCACATTTGGATACTGTGTGTGTGGACTGAAGCAGCATAAGGACAGTGTATAACAACTTCTTTGGAGAAACAATTCCAATGGAAATAGTGTAACACAAACTGTTATCTATATTTGTTTTCAATTAAACAATACAGGCAAATACCACCTGTCCAGTGATAACGTATGCATGGGACATTGTTGCTGTGTGAAAACATTTTATTGTTTTAACTTTTTTTTTTTTTTACTTGTAGTATAAGTGTTAAGCTACATATGCTTACAGTAGATATGTTGTATATTGCAATTAATGTTTTGCTTGTTTTTCAGGGAGAGAGAGGGCCAAGTGGTCCCTCCTTGGTTGGTCCACGCGGTATCCCAGGTATCCCGGGAGACAGAGGAGAGCAGGTTATTGTCTCACTAGTTTGACTCACTGGATGTAGGCTGGGGGTATAAGCTAGCCATTGAATGCCTATTTCAGGTGGCATTCTCCTCTCCTTCCGCTTCAGGCCTGTTAGAATTTTCGAAATCCCTTTCGCTACGGGGAATCAACAACAACCTCTGAGTTACGCAACCCACACACTGAAAATGACCAGTTTTGATGAAGTTGTGTCAGACAAGAAGACAAAATTGCATCAAAATTATACAAATTGATGAACAAAACATTGAAACTGAAGAATGGGATCGTGTCTGGAATCTAAATTGATTAAGAACAGAATGATCAATTACAATTTTGTACATAGAACATGTTTAACCCCTGTTTAATTGCATAGAATGGGCGTGTCTGATTCTGATCTTTGTTGGTACTGCAAACAAGATTTTGAAAAATTTGCCTTTTGAATTAAACAGTAGAAAGAACCTGGTCCAAACACAACAAAATCAAACAACCTGATGCATGACAGCTAAAAGACTGATAGCAATGAATTGGAAGGACACAGGTCAGCTTAAAGAGACTGTGGTTTCAAACATTCCTCGAGACAATCTCCGTAGAAGGAGCTACAACTAAACTTCTGAAGTTTATAATGAGGAACAACAATTGTGGAAGTTTCATAAATACCTGTGTTCCTCAAGACCTCTTGAGACTCCTGAAACAACATGAAAGGTCCATGTTTCTTTTATTTATTACTCTATTGGACAGATGGCGGAAAATATACTTTGTTTTCTCACTAAACTACACATAATCCCTCTATCTTTTTGTATTACTTTTTCATTCAATTTTATGTTAATTTAATCTGAGTTGCCATGTTAGAAAAATGTACTGTCTCATTTTTCCGTTTGCTGCAAAAACCAATGAACGTTCAAGTAGTTGAAGATCATGTAATCACACAATCGACAAATGTCTCTTAGAGTTTTTTTGCTGTCTTTTCTTTGCAGGGAATTATTCATGACAATGATAGTGTTTGCCTCCCCACATGCAAATGTTTCACTAGAACAAGCCCTTACACCTGTCCATTTTGCAGGGAGAAATGGGTCCAGACGGAACCAAGGGAGACAGAGGAGAGCAAGGCATGACGGTCAGTGCTTGATCCTTATTGCAGGGCTCAATCTGTTGATAGGGGGTCATGTTTGTAAGTGTGTTTTGTCTGGTTTCCCTCTTTATTTTGAATTCAGGAGGATGAGATCAGAGATTTCATTCACTCAGAGATGAGTCTGTACTGTGGTGAGTCTTTCATGCAATGTGAATTTATCAGTGTTGTCCCCAAGTTTAACTTCAGATGGTAATCACATCAATGAAAGTGTTATACAAAAAAGCTGTAGAGAACTTCTGTATTGCCATGACTCTTTAAACTGACTGACTTTATTATTCCCTCTTTGTCTGCTTCTTTCCGGTCCATCGACCTGATGCTCAGCGTGTGGAGGTGAGTGAGCCGAGTCACAACAGTATACTGTACCACGTGCTGCTGCAGAGTCTGTATTGAGGGCAATCCGTGTCAAAATATATTTTTCAAAAGATGGAGTACAATTGAGTATAATTCATGTTGTTTGAACAGCATAACACAACAGTGTGAAATGCAGTTTGTCCAGGTTCCTTCCAGATATAAATATATATTATCTTAAAATTGGCCTAAAATATCTGCTACTGTGTGTAGGTGTTTTGTTATGTTCCTGATTCTGACTTCTTGTGTTGCTTCATTTGACTCATTTGATTTTTGCAAGTCATCGTCTTGTCTCAGTCTTTAAACACAAGTTTTTGTCAAGTCATTTTTTATGAGTAGTTTTGTTTAATTTGTTGTTTCAAATAGATCGTTTTGATTCATTTTTAATCTTGATTCAATTAAATGTCTGCACAATACAAAAAATTTGAATACATTAAAGTAAATGAATGTGAAGAAAATGAGGGAAAACCTCAAAATGACAATAACAATGACGTTGAAGCTGTTAATCGACGCAAGAACACACCAGTGTTATGAAACAATATAGAGCGTTACTGAGAATGAGGCCAAAAAAATAATTTCACCCATGTTTAACATATTTATTATTACCCAAGAAATAGTTACATGTTTCTTAATGAAAAACTCAGTAATGGTTTGAGTCTTTAGTTGAGTCAGACTGATTTGACCTGGAGTCAAGTCAAAAAAATGTTTAGAGTGGGTAAGGCAGTGACTTGAGTCTTAGAATTACAACCAGTTTTTCGAGGATATCTCATGTGGAATGATTTTTTTGTGGTGCTTTGGGGTTGATGTTGGCTCATGTGTATAAAGGTTTTACTACCAGAATGTTCTGTTCTTCCTTTTTTTCAATAATTACACTCCACGAATTCTGACTCTCCTCCCTTGGTGTCTATGTTTGCTCCTCCTTATCTTATCCGGTTCTCTTCAGGTTCAGGCCCGGACTGGCTGATCAGGGCTCGGCGTGCATCAGAGCATCAACTGGTCCTGAAGGGTGAGGAGGGTGAGTGTGTCCGTCCATCGCTCTGCCTGTCAGCCTTGTCTCGTCCTCGTTTGTCTGTCTGTGTGTTCGTCCCTAACAAACAGGATCAAGGTGGTGACGCTACGTCTGGAGACCTCTGAATATTGGGTGGTTTTCTCATCAAGAAAACAGAGTACTCCGTTTGTTAGTTTTATGTGTCTGACTGATGTGATACATATTCTATATCTCTGATTACATCCAGACAAATACTATGCTTGGAGTTGTTACATGGATCTCTGACCTGTGTGGTGCTGCTCTTCTTTCAGGCCGTGAGGTGCGTGTGGTGGTGAACACCAATGACCCAGACTACAAGCAAATTCACCCCATCGAGGCCTACGATGATCCATTGGATGAACTGCTCTACTTCACTCCTTCTGCCAATCTTAGTGACGGTACTGTGCGTTTCATACTGTGTCCATTGCTATCATGAAGTGATGTAGCATTTACTGACACAGTGAGCACTATCTAAGCCAGTCTGGTCTCACAAATGTTTGTGAAATGCTGTTTCTATTTTCTGCTTGAAAGTGAAAGACATACAGTATATGTTCTCAAAATAAAAGACATCTGATGCTTCAACGCTTCCACAAACATATGGGATGAAAGTTTTGACCTTTGATCACTCTGAACTACCTTAAAAATGCCAAAACACAGACTTGGTCGTAATTGACCTCAATGGATAAGCTGCACTATACCTGGTGCGCTTACACACCGTAAGCACATATTCACTACCAGACTTGGCACATGGACCCACACTGTCCACAATGAGGTGTGTAAAAGGTTACTCCAATATTTTTGTCCAATATAACTAAATATTAACATCTATTATTGCACTGTGCCAAAGTCTGGGTTTTCCATATCTTCACAATGGAGTAAAATGTTATTATGATCATACGACACAATGGACATTAATATGAGAATAAGAATCAGGTTGACAAATACAAAGATTTCCCTCAACCTAATCATTTTAGTCAACTAACAAATTTCTAGTCATGTCTCATAATTTAGTTTATTCAGTCAGCACATAATCCAATTTGCGCTGGAGAAGCGTGTCTCATATTGTGTCTGCGTTTCACTCTATGCTCATTCCATAAGATTATGAGACTGTGTTGGGCTTGAATAATTGTCACCTAGCCTGCTATAAGCGAACACCATCCTGAGTCTGTGACCTTTCATGTTGATTGTGGCCCTGTTATCACATTAACATCTTTTTCTCATTTTTTCCATTTCTACTGAATGTGTCTTTACCGTGTGTGTGTGTGTGTGTGTGGTGTGTGTGTGGTGTGTGTGTGTGTGTGTGTCTGTGTGTCTGTGTGTGTGTGTGTTGACAGGTGAAGCAGTCAAAGAGGAATCAGAGAAAACAGTTAAAGTTAAACCAAACAAAGCAGCCAGTGAAAAGAAAACACCAACAGTTGGTGGTCAGAAAGCAGTCAGAGTTGCACCTCTGAAAGCAGTCAAGTCCAGATCAGTCAGGTCCAAGAGAAGAGTCAAGGGGGAAGGTAAACCACCGTCCTGATTTGGGATTTATAAAGGTTTAATTCTGCCCTCCTGCCTTCCTGGTGTCTGGCCCTCTCTGTATGTCTCAGGCTGTCGGCTGTTCTGTTGATTTAGAGGCATATATGCTTCCAGTAAAATAACATACAAAGAATAAGGTATCACTGCTAATTTCTTTATTTAAAACTATGTAAAAAAGGTTGGTTTTGATTGAGTTTTAACCTCAGTGGTCATGAGTGCTTGTTTTGGGTCCCCTGTTGGTACCGCTGCTCTGCTTCTGCTCCTTTTTGCCTGGCCTGCCCTTTTCTCATTGTGCATGCCTCTTTGTGTCTACGTGTGCACACTCTTTATGTGTGTTTGTGTTCTGCAGCTCCAGCAGACCTGTGCCAGCTCCCCATGGAGGAGGGCAGTTGTGGACGTTACACTCTGCGCTGGTACTTTAACAGTCAGGCTCAGGCCTGCAGGCCCTTCATCTACAGTGGCTGTGAAGGAAACGACAACCGCTTCCTCCACTTGGAGGAGTGCGAGGAGGTCTGCCTTGGAGAGACTGAAGGTACTTAATCACACACACACTCTAGTTTATGTCGGATATTCAATGTATGCACTAACAAATGATCTGTTGTGCAGGTTCTCGTTCCTTGAAGGCAGCACAATGATTGTGGCCAGTTCTTCCTCAGCCACAGGAATGTTCGCCTTCATATAGCTTTTATACATCATTATTTTGTCAAGATTTGTTTATGTTTGTGTCTTTAAATCCAACCAAACCTTACCCATCCGGGAGATGAGAGGGGATACCAGAGGCCTCCTTGGTTTATGTTTTCAAAACCATGCAAAAAAAATCTAGAAAACAATCTGCCTGTTTCTACCCCTGTGTTTCCTGTTGACAGCTGTTAATTAGGATTCAACTTACTATGACTCAGTTTTGTAATTGTTTTTGTAATTATGATTTTGAATAGCTGTTGTCTGAATTGTAACGTGTCAAAGAAGGAGAAAGTCTAAAAAAAATAATGACAACTAAACACAAGGGGGAACACAAGTAGACACTCAGCAACACTGAATGAAACAGGGAGGGAAATAGGCTGAGTTGTGGGTTCTGTAAGAATTTTCTCTTTTGTAAATGGGCATTTTTAAATGTTTATTCAATGATAATCTTCTTGTAATGTTCCTCAACATAGAAACATGGGTGCTACCTGGATAACAACAACATTTTAGCATGGTATTTTGACATTAGAAAAAGAAATCATGCCTTTTAGTTAGAAAAACCTCTAAAATCTAAAGTATTTAGCAATAACCTCCACAACCATTCCTATAGGGAAGACAAAATCCAAAGTTGCAAATGAGAGCTTCAGTAAAGAACAATCAACTGCACCATAAACTATTAATTCATCCAGAATTGACTCTGAATCCAAAAATGGATCGATTTAAACTGCTATGTGTATTAACAGGTTTCTACAAAGTAAAAAAACTAAACTGAAAGAACAATAACCTTTAGTTTTACATGTTAACAGTGCAAATGATATATACATCTCAATTAATCTATGTAAATATAGACCAAAAACAGAAAATAAATTACAAAATAATTTGTACAACTAGCTTCAGCCCTTAACAACACGTACAACAGTTTTAAAGTTCTATGATCGGCTGGTTTCTTGCTACAGTGCACCTTGAGAGTTGCAATTGACTTCTCTCCCACAGGCCTCTACATTTTGGCATTTTATCAAATAGGCTGATTTTTTTAATTAATCCAACCTGATGACTCCCAAGTCATTGAATGTTATCTATGGAGAAGCTTTTATTCTCAGAGCCCTAGATGCTGGAAATAACTCCTCTTACCTCTCTACACAATAATAACAATGCAAGCACAAATATCTATGTCTGTCATTTGTATTAAGCATGAAGAATGTTTTGTGCACACAATTTTTTTTATTTTGGGGAAGGACTGCATGTTTACCTGCCAGAGAAAATGTGCTATTTTTATATTGTTTATTGAATATGGAAGCTTTTGTGTTTGTGGGGTACAAACCCTTTTGTTTATGTAGTATTATAGAACATTTTAATAAGCATTTCTAATAAATCAAATGTTTGAGAAAAACAAAGTTGGATTTTCTATTTGTTTTCCACGACC